TGAAAAGTCTTACTATTTTTTTAATAATGGAAAACTGTTCCATTGAAACTAGATTCTGCATTCCACCCTTGTTAGGTGTCATCAGATCAAAGTGAAAGTAATACATAATCTAGTTTCAATGAAATGGTTTTGCATTTGTCATATTTTTAAAACTTTGTCTGTATTCTGTATCCTATTTTATACATACACCACACACACACACACACACATGCACGCATGCATGCACTGCACATTGTAGACACTGAATGACAACAGTTATTAAATGCAATGTTCAAGCTTATCATGCAGACCATCACCATTTGCTGTTGAAGTTTGTGTCCCCTCTGCTGATATTTGCATACACTCTATCTCGGATTTTGGCCACTTTTTACCCTATAAATATAGTATATCCTAAAACTATATTTTGTTATAGCACACACACACACACATATATATATATATATATATATATAAAATTTATTTGAAAATTATAACAAATGTTAAAAAATTGCTACAAAAATAGCCATTTTGTTTCAACAATTCTGGTGTCTTATCAAGTGATGATGTTGAATGTAGAATAGTTTTATTCTACATTCAACACCATCACATCAGAATTGTTGAAACAAAATGGCTATATTTTGAAGTGATTTTATAACATATTTATCTTAGAATTTTCAAATAAATTATATTTGCTCTACTGAACACTCTTTTAAGAATAGTATTTTTGGTTATTGGAACTTATTCCATATACACCAATCCTATACTTGTGTGTATATATATATATATATATATATATATATATATATATATATGTGTGTGTGTGGGCATGCACACAGACCAGCAGGTGTCCACACTCTTTGGACCCATCAAATTTTAGTTATTTCTATTCATGCTGATCTTATTGGCTATCATTCTTCTTTTAAAGTGACTTGTCCAAGGTCTACATTACTGGGGATTCACCCTTCAATTTAACTTCCAAATGATATCTACAAATAGCAATTCATACCAGCCACCTTCTCTTCAAAGATAAGTTTCTGGTTATGATGAGAGCAGATATTTTTTCAAGTGTCTTTAGCCAGTCAGACCCTATTTGTAAAATAACAGGTTTGTTCTTGTGACAAGTATTTGCCTGAATCTACTACTACTACTGCTGCTGTGTGTGAGAGAGTGAGTGAGAGCGTCAAATGAGTCTTGGAAAAAAAAAATCACAAATAATCTTCAGGGAAAAATAAGAAAATAAAAAGTTTAAAAAAAAAAAAGCAGATATGGAATAAAAATCAGCGCAATAACTCATCAGGCCAGTTCGACTGAAGGCATTTTTCACTTCCTATATATATATATATATATATATATATATATATATGTATGTATGTATAAATTCAGAGATTCACGCATATAAATTGGAATGTCTCCTCCCCTCCCCCAGCACCCCCTGGAGAATTGGTCGAAAAAGAAAAGAAAAAAAAAAGTCTAATAGTTTATGTTTGGTTTTCAAGAGGAAATTTTTTTTTTTTTTTTTCTTTGCTATACAGTATGAATATTGCTGCTAATGAATGAAGTGAAAAAAAAAAATTGACAATGTTGTCTTTTCTGTTTTTATTTTACTGTTTTTTTTTTGTTTTTTTTAATCTTCCATTTTTTTGGAAAAAAAAAAATTTTCTATTTCATTTCATTCAAAAAAAAAAAATTTCTGCTCAAAATGTTTAAAAAAAAATATTTTTTATACAAAAATACTTGGTTGAACTGCTGCTAACAAAAAAAAAAAAAAGAAAAAAAAAAAGAGGACTGCCCTTCCTCATACATGCATATATCTTAATATATTCAACATTTCTTTCTTATATCTATAATATTAATAGTAATCAAAATAATCTTTCTTTATCCACCCTTACCTGCTCCCCCCCTTTTATTTTCTTGTAAGTCCCACCATCATCTGTGCTGATCTATGAAAATCTTTGTCAAATGATTGGTCTGTTTAATATAGTCGTCTTATTCTCTCCGTTTTGTGTGTATGGATGATTTTGCAGTGGATGTATCTTCATTCTTATTGGCTTATCTTTTTAACACTTACAAACAGGGTTTATCAGTCTAATCAGTTTTACAAAATGATTTTGAGCATCTACCATGATTTATGGTTAGCAAGCTCGCATCTCAGACCAATTTTTTGTGAGTTTATTCCTCACAAGAACGCCACTATGATGGCCTTGTGCCAGTCTGTTTTGGTACCCTTTTTTGTGGGTATGGATGTTTTCTAAAAATCTATATATTTTTTTTTTCCTCTCCCACCTTTCTTGGGAATGAAATGTACAAAATACTGCAATTCCATTTTTTTTTTTTTTTCTTTTCTTTTCTACTTTGCATCAAGAAAATGGTTCCACCTGTTTTTTGCCATTCCTGCTTTGGCATTTTCAGGATCTTTTATTTATTTTTCTTTTTTCTTTTTTCCTTCTAGTAAGTCTTTTTCCAAACCTGATTCCATGAAATTACCTGTTCTATCATCGTTATTTTTGGCAATTCCAACTTTTTCACCTATCTCAGTTTCTCGAACCCCTACACACTGCCATAGCAGTTCTTAGAGGTTCCAACTTCCATTTTTCCTCTCACATTTGCTATTTTGAGAATTCTGTAAGAATTGAATAAGTCTTTTAATCTTTTTCTCTTTTACCAGGAAGTGTTGCCAACTTTGCATCCCCAACTTTTTCCCACCCCACCCCCACCAAAACTCTTCAATAAAATTTCAGACCAAATTTAAATCACAAAGTTTACTCTCTGGAAATACTTATCTAAGCTTTTGTGTCTGCAAAATTCTACCTAAGTTCTCTTGAAATCTATAAATTGTGGCAACCATTTCCATCTTTGGCAATTCCACTGTTGATACACACCTGAGAAATTTCTTTATTTTTTTTTTTTTTTTTTTCTCTCTTAATCTTGGCATTTAGAATTTAAGCTTATTCGTGATTAAACAATGTTAGGAATTATTAAAGATTTTGTTATTATTATTGCAGAAAAAAATTGTTTTGTGATGATTTGATTGCATTGTAACAGTTTGTTTCAAAACTTTTTGCATGCTTCCAGTTAATTTAGAAAAAAAATATCTGGAACAAATAACTCTGGGTTTGCTTTCATGTTAAACATGGTAGGTGGAGAGCTAATTATTCTGAAATATATATATATATATATATATATATATATATATATATATATATATATATATAATGTTTTAAATGTGTTACTTAAGCTGATAATTTTCCCTCTCCCAGTAGCATTCTTGAATTTTTTTTTTTTTTTGTGTGTGTGAGGATGGTGTCAACATTTTGCTAGTCGACTATTTATATTCCTTGACTGTGCTTTGATACATTTTATGATTCTGAGAGTTTATAATTCATTCCAAGAATTATTCAGACATTTCAACCCATGTATTCTTTGAAATTCTTTGTATGTAATTCATATGGAAAAAGCAACGGGATTATTCTCCCCCACCCAAACTCATACAAACATACACCTCCTGATGGTATCTACCAAACATTTCTTTTTACTATTAAAAATAAAAGAAAAAAAATTATCATAACTATATCATTTATTACACTAATCTTGATGATAACCAACCAAAACTTTAAGTCAGCAGAAACAATATCATGACAAGAAAATGGCCAACTCTAGGGATTTTTGGTGAATGGTCTGAACAACTCTTGGCCTATCTAGTGCATAGATTTATTCAATCTGGTCAAGATGATCACATGACTGAAATACTTGTGTTCAACAATGTCTTTGATTACAGCAGGTCTTGTATTAAGTGTTGTATTTACCTGCTTGAGTTCTTCATTTAAAGTAAGGTTTTATCTGATAAACTTTTTACAAGTAGTCCATCTGTCTCTCTTAAAACTGAGCCAGTAGATGGATATTCTTGTATATATTTCCACTTGAAAGCATTTTAGCATATACTTTCTTTTTATTTCATACCTTAAAGCCAAAGATGAAAACTGTCTTAAGTGAAACGCTTTATTGAAACGTTTTTGTCCCCAAAGTACGGTGTTCCCCATTTTCCCTTTCATCCTTACACTATTGTTGGCTTCATCTCAATTAATTCCATATGGCATTTATTCATTAAGAAAAACAATCTCCATCTTGTATTTGTCTACATTTTCAGGGCATAGAGAAAGGAAATTATATCTTAAAATGGTTGCAACATTAACTAATGTTAAAATATTTTCAGGATTTCTTGTTGGCTCATTGATAATAACCTTGTTTTTTTTATTATTTCAGACCCTAAATCCTTTAGTAGTATTTTTGATTGGTCAGTGGGGAAAATACTGTCTTTGCGCTCTATAATTGGTAGCTTCATCAAGTCTTCCTCATTTCTCGTTGTAATGGTACAGGCCAATTTTTGTTAAGTTTTCTGCCTATCAAATTTCTCTTTCAGTATGTTCACCATGCTGGCAAAAGCATTTTGGGGTCAAATCACAAGTTTGGGGTGGAAAGAAATTTTTTTTTTTCCCTTTCTCATCAAAATCAGTTTCTAATTTTTTGACCTTTTGGAAACAAAATGTTATGATATATTTTGCAAATTTGCCTATAAAAATATTGTTTTGATATGTTTTCATTTGATGCTTTTCTCTTGATATATTATAAACATATATAAATATATATATATATATATATATATATATATATATATATATATATAAAAATAATATATATAAATAATATATTGATATGGGTGAATGGGTGTGTGTATGTGTGTGTGTGCATGCATTATATGCAATGTCCCCAAATTAACAACACTGCCTGGTCTCAAATCTAGGACTCTTTTTATATTACTTGAATGTTCACTGCAATGAGATGGGGTGGGTGGGGAGGGACAACTCAAGGGCTTTAATTCTGAAAATATATACTGAGATTATATATATATATATATATATATGTATTACTATAGAGTACTTAAAAAAGATCTTGATTCCTATGAAAAATTTATTTGCATCTAGTCTTGTTTCAATTGTTTTCATTTTTTCTTTTTATGATGTTAGTACGAGGTTACTCATTTATTTTCATTGTCATAGGTACGTTGTTGGAATTGTCCATCACTTTTTAAGACGCTCCCCACTACAACCAACTGCTTTTTTTTTCTCTCTCTTTCTCTCCCCTAAAGAAAACCTTCTGTAAAAATTCATCTATATCAATTTAACAAGACTCCAGTTTTCATCATGATAGAATATCTTTTTGTTTTTGGTGGGGAAGTTATCAAAGTCCTGCAAAGCACCACTGTCCAAAAAAAAAAAGTAAATATAAAAATAGAAGAACTAATAGGTTTGTTGGTGCTCACCAGTTTCTGGGTTTGCAAAAGTATTTTTCATTCATCTAAATTTGGTTCTTCTCTGGGTGGTTGCCATGGTTTTTGAGGAAGTCTCTTTGAATCATTGTTGACTGACCTGTTTGGCAACTTTTGGGTGTGGCTCCAGCAGAATTTCTGTGGAAGGTGTATTTGTGGTGCCAGTGTGTTTGCTGTAATGTCAGAGGCTTTCTCTTGGGTGATAAAATATTTCTCTTTCATTTAAAAATATTCCAGTCTGGTAAATTGACAAGTTACAAATACTAACACCCTCTCTTCATTTCTATTGGTCAGATGTCCTTTATTGATGTTTAACTGGACATCTCTGTACATTAGCAATAATAACTAATTTGTATGTCTGTAAAAATGAATTTGGATTTTATAAGTATGTGGCAATTACCTACATACTGCAGGTCATATTCTTCTAATGAAGTTTGAGGAAGAAGGCGGGTAGACATCAAAATGCCCATTTTATCTATTTCGGCCTTGATGGTTCCAAAAATACTTTTAAGCCGTTATAATTTCTATATAAATACTGTATTAAAAACATTCTATTTTTCACTGTTTTTATTTTATTTTAAATATTAAATCACTTCTGAGTTCATGCCTGATAAAACTTAATGCTTATTTATTTCAAACTAATTATGTATTAAAACTCTTTCTCATCTTAAATTCTAGCCTTTCAACTTCTCGTCCATCCTTGTCTGCCTTCTACAAGTTTTTATTTACACCTGCCCCCTTGACATGGTCTTTGAGGTACTCTCAATTAGAAAACTGTCCTTGTTCCTCCTAATGGCTTGGGGGGGTTCTTCAGCTTGGATAAATAGTGTTTGCCTTATGTTCCATACAATTGACCATTCACATATTTCTTTGCTCCTTTCAGTCAAAACTTGGACCCCAAAAAAAAAAAAAGATTTTTAAGATGGGGGCAGTAAAATAAAGAAAAAAAATCAAAAGATGGATTCATTTTTCATTTTCATGTCTCGATTAAATAAGGGTTGTTTTTTTGTTTTGTTTTTTTTTTTGGGGGGGGGGGGTAAATAGCTCACAAATAACCTTGATAAAATTTATTGTTAAAACACTTCTTGTATATACATTAACTTGTGGTTCGAAAATATTAACCTCCCCCCCCCCAAAAGGTGAGATCTTTCGGATGTCTCTATTTCATGCAAATTAATATTTTAAAATTAAAATTAATCTTTTGAATTTTTCGTCTTCTCTTCTTTTTCCCAACCTGAAAAGGAATTATCACAATCCTAAAGATATTAAAAAAAAAAAAAAAAAAACATAAATGTGCCCCACACATACACACCCTTATTTCATACCCAAAGTTATTTGCCTAAAAAAAGCCTTTGTAATTTTTTTTTTAACCAGATACTGACATGTTTTCTTTGTTCTCCCTTTCCAATTTGATGAGTGGATTTTCATATTGCAATTCTTTTTTTTTTTTTTTTTTAATTTAATACTTCATCAGAGATTCTAATTTTTCATTTACAATTCTAGTGTCTTCAAAACAGATGAACAGTCTGTTTACTGCTACAAATTTATAAATCCAATGTTCCTGAAAGATAAAATTTTTTTCTCAAGACATGATTATTTTCTTTTCAGAAAGATGCAATTTTCATTATCCAAATTTCTTTTCTTTTTTTTTTTTTTTTTTTGTTTTTGAATATCATGAAAAAGTGTTTTTTTTTTTGTTTGTTTTTTTTTTTTTTCCCCTAATTTTTATCCATTGTAAAGACCTTATATGTCAAAAGAATCCAGATTTTGAATGGGAAAGATCTTTTGTCTGTTGACTTGGTAAAATATTTTAGCATTTGTTGCTTGTTGTTTCTACTTCCAAACTTTCGTCTTTGGTTTTTTAAAAATATGAAACCATTCCTCCCTGCCTTTTAAATTCCTTTCCTGGTTCATATTCTAATCACTGCTTTGACATTTGCCTCCGCTGCTACTTTGTTAATAGGGTGAGTGAGTGGGACATTTGTCTTCCCCCCCCCTTTTTTTTTTTCGTTAATTGCATCAATGCATTAGTTGGCTACTTTGAGGGTTTTTCATTCCGCCCCCCCCCGCCCCGCCATTTCTTTTGTAAATCTCAAGATTTGTTCTTTTTATTGATACTTTTAGAAATCTTGCTTTCATTATTTCACATTTGCTATAAAATTTCTTAATTCTTGCAGAATCCAGATATATGCAAATTGAATTTTGGTAGTTGATTACTTAAACCACATACCTGAGAAAAAGAATTTCTTTTCAGGTTTACTGGCTGTGAAGAAGAAAGAAAGAAAAAAAATTTTTTTTTTTTTTTTTTAAGAAAGTGCTTTGTTACCTACAATATTCTCTGAATTATTTAACTATTTAACAAAACAAAACAAAATGATTAGGTTTCAGATTACTTTCTAAAATCTAAGCCAAGATTTGCTGTTTTTTTTTTTTTTTTTTTTTTTTCAGCTTTTGACATGAGACACAAGAGTAAATTTATAAGGGTCAGTGCTAACTACCCCCTCCTCTCAACTTTGGATGGTCAAGTATTTTAGTGGGGGCCTTAGAGGGGGTAAGGAAATTGACATGTAGTGAAGTGAGTGCCCCATATGATATAATCAGGGAAATTGGGTACAAGCCTCTAGTGCTCACGCTGGTTGGCTGTCATTCAGTGCAATAAATACACACACTCTTTAGATCTAGAGCACCTGTGATGGAGATATAAATTGCAAGGTAATCTTGGAGGAGTTTGATTCTCCACTGAATTCAAGCTCTGATATTCTATCCTTGTGCCAGACTAGGCTTAGCCTAGTAAATATCTACGTATATAATTTCTGTTCCCAAAATACTATATTTTTTATTTTTTACATAAATATATCCCCACACATCAAGTGCTGGTGTTAATAAAATAGTGCTTGATGTAAAATAGAGCTGTAATTTATATATTAATAATAAATATACATATTTTCCCTCACCAGTAGCAAAACTCTGATCACGCAATCTTCAGGTACTGAGTGAACTCTTGCTTCAGCACCAGAAGATTGTTGTGATTCAAACTTAGTTGTGCTACCAGTAGGGGGGGAAAATTATGTACATTTATTACTAATATGTAATTATATATATATATATATATTCCTGTTCAAAATCAGCAAGGCAGTTTGGATTCATTTATTTAAAAAATAATTAGTTCTTTTGAAAGAGCTGACAGTTTATTCCAACCTCAAAGTCGAGAACATCTTACCTTTTTATCTATTTCTTCTAAGTACTATCTGGGTTTAAAACTTGTCTGCAGTGATAGTAATTGGCCAGTTCTAAGATGTAGCCATACAATTTTAACTCGTAGCATTTGACTTTTTTGGGATAAAAGAACATATCTTCCTTATACTAAAGTAATGTTCTTAGTGGTTAATTTAATCTGTATCCAGTTTACCCCATTTTTAATCACAAAACCGCCTTTTGTATAGCCCTCATATATATATATATATATATATATATATATATATATATATATATATGCATACACTTTCCTTTCTCAGGATCCAAGTGTTTATTTTCCTTTTCTTTGATGTCTTTTTTAGACTGTTTTTAGTTTCCTCTGTCTTACCTTTTGGTGTTCTTGTTGATTGCGTTGTCATTATCTTATTTTATGTCCCAAGGTGCAAAACTCACTCACTCAACAAAAGTGGAGAAAAAAAAAAAAAGTAGTTTACAATAAGTGTTCTGATGTCCAGTCGGAAAAAAAAAAAAAAAAAAATTCAGTATTTTTCTAGTTCCTTTCTCTTCTTGTTCCTTGGACATAGCCTTCACTTTTTCAAAGATCCTTCCTGGTTCTCAATTCTTGAACCCAGTTGCTTCTCAACCCACCATCTCTTGACCCTTGTAGCCTTTATTCCCATGACCCATGACCTTTTTTTTTTTTTTTTTTTTTTTTTTTTGACATCTCCTCTGCCTAATCTCCATATTCTTATTTTGTGGGGGCTGACTCAAGTGCATTATTTTTTCTTTTCTTTTCCTTTTTTTTTTTTTTTTTTTTTTTTTCTTTCCTTTTTTTTTTTTTTTTTTTTTTTTTTTTTTTTTTTTTTTTTTTTTTTTTTTTTTTTTTTTTTTTTTTTCTTTTTTTGACCATCTCTGCCTTTCTTTCAAGCGTCAACCTTGTATTTTCTGGTTTATTTTTTTTTTTATTTTTTTTATTTTTTTTTTTTGATCTTGTTACATATTGGTGTGTATGTGTACAGTTTTTATCTATCTATATTATGTCATGTATGCAATACTTACAGAACCATTTAGCCACTTAGAGCCTTACGGACCAGAATCCAAACTTTTCATTTTGTGACCCTGTGTCAAGGTACCTACCCTTCATCAATGTGGCTACAGATGACTATTATTATTTTTTAAATACTGCTTGTCAAATAAACCTTTTTCTTTTCTTTTGTATTATACTCAAGCAGGAAGAAAGCAAAAAGCTGATTATTAATGTAGATAATGTAATATAATTCTTAATTGTGTATTATTAGTGTTTGACTACTCATTGTTACTTTTTTTTTTTTTCAAATGCATATATACCCATTGGAGCGTATGTGTGTCTGTGGGTTTAAAAAGTAAATAAAACATTTCGGATGAGTGCTGTTCTAGTCGCTACAGTCTTCAGTGCCAGGAGAATTTTTTTTTTTTTTTTTTTTTCCTATTCTTCCTCCTTCTCCTGTCAGTGGCTAAATTTGATTCCTTTTCAACAGTCTTCTCTTTATTCTTTATTCTTTTCTTATTCAACAAGGCCATCGCTTTCCTGGGGAAGCTTTGACCTATAAACACGCCCACCTATTTGCCTGTCTTAATGTTTTACCTTTGTCGGTATGTCTTTTCTTGTCTAAATGCCAGTGTTCTTCAAGAAGGGACCTTATTATTGATTTTGTCACAGGCACATCACTGTGGGGTAAACTGGTCTAGCAGGCCTTTACTGTTGTCCTGATTTTGATCCTCAATAGGTGCCCCATGCCTTGTGCCAGACTAAGCTACTACTTACAATAAAATTCTCTCATTGTCTCTTCCATATTCTAAAGTCCCTTTCCTCCTAAACGTCTTTGTCTCTCCTTAGGTTTTTTTTTTTTTTTTTGTCTTCATGAGAAAAAACAAAAAGTTCAATTCTTTCATTCTGGGGTTTATGAATTAACCCCCCCTCCAATTTTTCACAACCTGCTTCACAGTTGTCTCTTTCTTTTCTTTACATTTTACACCTTTCCAAATCATTTCTTCCACTTTTAATTGTAACAACATTCTTTCCTCTCTGCATGAGTTTCCCCCTTTTCTTTTTTTCAAGAATGTCCCATCCCACAATATGTATAAAATGACATCCATATATTGATGATACTTTGAGTTTTAACCCTTAAATTTTTGCCAAGAGGTTTTTTCTCCAGTCAACTTTTTAATAACATGTTTAAATGTGTTTAAAACTCCCATCATACCCAAGCTTTGTTCAATGACTTTTTTTATTTTTTTCAAAGCTGTGTTAATGGTCCTTCAATTTGTAGGAAGGGTCATTGACCTATAAGCAGTACATGTCAACCTCTAAGAGGTATCCAAAAATCATCACGCCCTTCATTTTTCTCTTATCCTTACTTACCCTTCAGGTAACTTCAGCCCCCTTTTTCTTTTTGTTATCCTCACTGCCACAGATTCAGTCATTTAATCTGTATCAGAAAACCAATGGTTATCTTTTTTTGGGGGGGGGGAACAAAAAAAAATGTTGAGCTGCCTTGCCTGGTCCAGTTAGATTCTGTACATGATTCTCGCTTTGGTCCAATTGCATATCTGACCAACTGACTGCATAAGAATAATCTAGGCTGATCTTTGGGAAGTGCCACCCCTACCCACATCAAAATAGGAAAAAAATCTTGTCCTGCACTGCTTTGGGAGAAAAAGTTTCTGCGATCAAAGCCAAACTGCTTTTAACTATATTTTGTCACTTTCTAGTCAGTGTGTTCTGTAATTAAATATTAGAAAGAAAAAGGGGGGAAAACGGCTTTTTTCCATAAAGCGGAACCAGTAAGAAAGAAGGAACTCATGTTTCAAGAGCTCCCCCCCCAAGTTTCTCATCTAATTTGCTTTTGTGTGATGGTAATCTGTGATAAACATTTTTTGTCTACCTCTTGATACCTTCTCTTTCTTTTTTCATTTTTTTTTCTTTTTTTTTTTTTTTTTTTTTGTTTTAGAGTTCTATAAATGTTTCATGCCTTGGGTACAAACAATTTTGTTGATTATTGTAGAAACAGTTAAGTCCTTATATATATATATATATATATATATATATATAACATTTTTTTTCCCCATTTTTAGTGAAGAAATCCCCTTTAATTTCCTTTCCTCTCTCCTCACAGTTTATTTTCCATCTCTTCTTCATCTACCAAACTTAGTCATTCTTCAATGACCCTTAAATCAGTTATTGATAAACAAGCTTTGTCTATTAAATTTCAGGACAAAGAAAAAGAAATTAAATTAGGTTTTCTCTGTCATGACCCTGATACTTTTCCTGTTGTGTTCTTTTTTCTTTTTGTCCATTTCTAAACCGATTCACATTTAAAGTGCAACTCTACAGACTTGCTTTTACCCTTTGTCCCCATTTCTTGAAGGACAGTGATGATTGTAGGAACATTTTCACCGCCCCCCCCCCAAAAAAAAAAACATATATATATATCTCCTTTATTTGCCCTCCAGTTATTGAGGGACTCCAAATATGCATCTTTGTTTTATGTTGGGAATTAAACCCAAGTGCCTGGGATCACTCTCCAGGGTGAAAGGTCACCGAAAAAAAAAAAAAAAAAGACTTGAAGAAAAGTATTTGTTTTCATTTCTCTTATTTTTTCTTTCTCATTTATCTTTCTCCAGCTTTTATTCTTAAATTGGGACAAGATAAAAAATGCTCTTGTGTATAAAACAAAATGTTGCAAGATTTAAAAATAAAGAATTCTCTTAGACTTAAAAATTTATTTCGTTTTTCTTCCCACAATCCCATTCAATTTATAATTTGTGTGTATTTGAGAGTTTGTCTGCATTTATGTTATGCTTAGGCCTGTCAAAAAAAAAGTATAGCCACAGTTATTCGGCAGTTCTGTCAATAACTAACCACACCACCAAAAGTTATTCAGGAATATTTGCAAAAAATGTCTTTTCTTAGTTACCTGCGCAGTTAGAAATGCTTTGGACCATAAAATGACTTCATATTTACCATTCCTGGGTCACTGGTTTAAAAAAAAAAAAAAAAAAAAAAAAATCTTTTTCTCATGTTTTCATTGAAATAAGTGCTATTTTTTTATCCTTCAGGAGTAAAAAGTCTTCCATTCTTTATAAAAGTCTGTTAAAGGATTTGTTGATTAAAAACAAAAAATACCAAAAAAAAAAAAAAAATACTATATTCCCTGATTATTTCTTTTTTTTTTCTTTAAATATCTGTGTTAAATGTTATTTCAAAAATGGAAAATTATTTCCAAATTTGAGCTACCTAGCATCTTATGTTTGAACAGTGAAAACTGTGTCTTCATGGCCTTGTAAGCTTTATTTACCATTTCTGTTTTGTTGTGTCGGCCCCTTTGTTATGGGCGGCAATTTATGTTGGCAGGTGATATATTTACTTTCCCTGCCTTATTCTTTCACCCCCAACAGCCAAACCCTGCGACGGAACCTCTTGGCATATATAATTTTATACACATTACACTTCCCGATCCCAATTACATTTTTAGGACTCTTTGCAGAATAAGTTTCATGGCATAGAGGTGTTTATTTTAACTTTTCTGTACGATTTTAAAATTAATGGCCGATAGTCTAAAAACGGTGTAACAAGGGATACAACTCCTTGTGAATTTTAAAAAAGAAAAAGTTATTTCTCTTATGCAGTTTTTTTTTTTTTTTTGCTCCGTCACAAATCGGGAAGACCCAAAAATAGCATTGAAATCTTCTATACCATTATTAAAAATAATAATAATAAAAGTAAATTATCAGTTTCCTTATTCCATTACCTGACCTCACCCCCTGTCCAGGTTCTCCATTTAACATCTGTGTGTGTGTGTGTGTATGTGTTTTTATATATATATATATATATATATATATATATATATATATATATATATATACACACACTCACTAACTCTACAGTTCAAGTGTTTGCAGCTACCTCTGGTATTTTTCTAAATTGACCCAAAAAGCAGTTTTCTATTTTAAACGAGAATTATTAGACATGGGTTTTTTCGTTTCTTTTTTTTTTTTAAGTGAAACTTTTTTTTTTTTTTTTCTTTATTAGAAATTTTATTATGACAAAAAGAAAAAAGCATTTTATAATTAAATTTTGCTCTCGTCAAAATATCCTCCTTTAGCCTTGATTACTGCAGCATAAATTTTTGGTATTTGTTGCAAAAGTTTAGCAAATAAGATTGATAATTTTTTTTCTTTTTCTTTTTCTTTTTAATGACTCTAAGAGCACTTTTTGCATATTTTCTTTTAATTTCCACTCTTCTGTCAAGTTCATTCCATGTTAATTGGGTGGCTTCAAACTTTTGAACTGTAGTGTTATATATATATATATATAAAAAGCAAAAACCTCATTCCCACTCCACACATTATTTCTTTCTTGCTTTGTTTTTTTATATACCATTTCGCTGCTGTGAATATGAATGTTATAATACATTTTTAAATGGTGTCAAAATATTTCCATAAATGGCATATAATATTCAGAGAGATAAGAGGGAAACGCTTTTTTATGCAGTTTGAGACAAAATCCAAAATTCTATATAATTTTTCCTATTTGTCGCTTCTCACACATATACATTCTTTGTTTCAACATCCATAGACCAATTTCTCACACTCCTTTTTTCTCTCTATCCTCTCTCTCTCAAGGTTGAGAGGTGGGACCCACCCAACCCTGATTTGAGGTGGAATCTAGAAACTTTGTGTATATTTCACTGATTGCTTCACTGCAGTCTGCAGTCAATTCAGCAAAAAGTCATTTAGTGTCCAGTATTATTTTCAAATTCAAAGGCGAAAAATAAAAAAACTACCTCTGTCCCATTATACGTGTTATATTTCCATACATATTTCATACATTAAATGTACCATCTATTATGGGACAGATAGTACTAACTAAAAATAAAAAAAATTAATTTTTTTAAATAAATTTTATCTTTTTTTTTTTTTTTTTTTTTAATCTCATCTAAATTACTTTCTTTGTGCAATATCGGATATAATTTTTTAAAAATCTTTCTGAAAAAGGATATAAAAAAAATGGATCTGAAGTATGAATTTATTGTAGACACCATACTTTTCATTTCTCATTGTTCCTTCCTGTTGTGGTGATAAATCATTATAATTATGATCATTATAATTATTACGATTATGATGCATGTTTTATATTCTGATATACAAAATTAACCTTAGCAAAGTAGACTTTGTACGCTACCAATGTATCTACTCGGGAGAAAAAAAAAAAAAATAAATTAAATGCATATCTTTTTTTTTTTCTTTTTTTTTTTTTTTTTTTTTTTTTTTTTTAACAATGGGATCATTCTAGAGGATTAGTTATTCTCTCCTCTTAAAGAAAAAAAAAAAAAAAAATCTCTCTCTTTCTCTCTCTCCCTCCCGCCTTTTACAGTCTTTCATCTATATATGCATTTTTAAAAAAGCTTTTTTTTTTTCTTTTTTTTTTTTCTTTTTTTTTTTTTTTTTTTTTCCACCCTTCTATTTTCGCCATCTTTTACTGGATCTTATCCATTAAAATAAACGTCTCTTTCTTTCTCTCTGCTGTCACTTTTTCATGTCTCTTTCTTTTTTCAACCCCCCCTCCTCCAAGAAAAATTTGTGTATAATCAATGTACACTAATGTATAATGCAGCAATTTAATAAAAAAAAAAATAAAAGAAAAAAAGAGTTTCATAAATTATGTTGTCTTTTTCTTTCTTTCATGCATGGCTCAAAGTTTGAAGCAAAAAAAAAAATAGCCATTGGCTTAGTTTGTCATAAGACCATCTTGCATCATTGAGTCTTCATAAAATAACTTATAAAACAGGTATTCTCAATCTTTTTATTCTTACGTAGCCGTTTGTCCTGCCTGATTAGTTACCATCTAAAGTGTTCACCTTACTCGAGGTCAAACATTGTGAAAATTTTCTTGGCTGTGAAGAATTGTCTTTCCAACACGAAAAATGTATGTGAAATTCTAATCCTAAAAAGTGGTGCAAATTGATAAGAGTGTGAGATATTTGATTGTATATGTGGAAGGAGATATATATATATATATATCTCCATCCATCCTGATTTGAGAATCCCTGTTCTTTAGGCATATGTCCAACTGAGAGGAAAATACAAGTTGAAAAACCATGATGGGAGTAAGTTTCTGTCACTGCTTCAATAAAAGTGCAAAAAAGTAAAATTAAAAACAAACATTTATTTCTTGAGTTGATCAAGAAAAAAAAATATTTTTTAAAACTATTCTCTACCTTTCTTCTTCCCAAAGTCTTACTCTGGACAAGGCCCAGGAATTTTTCCTGTTTCTTGATACCTTACTTATCTTTTGGAAGATATCTGTCACTATTTCAATGCATTTTCCATTGTCTGTTTTCTTTCTTTTCTTTTTTTTATAGTGGCGTTCACCCTGTACAAGGCCCTGGAGCCATTTGAGGTACAGGTTTAGGTTAAGGGGTAGTTTATATGGATTGGAGAGGAAGATAACTGTTAATTCTAGACTTGAACAGGTTATGATTGTAGTGATCAGGGAAACATCCTATTGGGAGTCGGTTTCACAGAGCAGTGGATAGTGGGAAGCTGTTCAAGTGGAACTTCTCCGCGAGAGAATGCGGCTGGTTTGTTAGAAATTAAGTTATAGAGCCGGTCCTAACCTTGAAGGTTAGACGTGATGAAACCAAGGAAGTAATTTTCCGAACCACTTCCCTTGCAAGTAGCGATAGAGCTCACCCGTGACGGAGAGGTCTGAAGATAATTCATCACCCACAGGGACTCGGAGACGCTTTGGGACTCTATCAAGACTGGAAAGTAAGGAAGAGGCATCTCCCGTCCAAATATGACAACAGTACTCCATTTTCGGCCTAATCTGGCTCTTGTAAAGTTAAATGATAGTAAGATATAACAAAGAGGTGCTGAATGATAGACAAATTTATAACCGTGTAGGTGAGACTGTTACTTCTCCGTTTTCCTTAATATGTACATTTACTTGCAAAATCTTTACTTAGTACGTACGGATACAAATGAAAAACTAAATTGGAAAGAAAGCCATTATATTAAATTTCTTAAACTAATATTTACCCAACAGTTGCTTAAGGTAGATGGTTACAGTGTGATGTCGTATGAGCACAAGAAAAAGGCGTGGAGCCCCGTTCAAAAGATTATAGTGATTTTTCAAAGCGTATCTTAGGTTTGGTATGAGGC